ATTATCGGCCGATTATGATCGGCGACCGATCAATCGGAGCACCCTTATATACAAGAGAACCCTGTCAAGATAAAGTTCTTATGGAGTGTGCAATCTTTGAAAACTACAAAGCCTCATTAATAATCGCACATGGGCATACTGCAATTATTTTCAGAAATTATTTTGATTTATTGTGCAGCCCTAATCATGAGTCATATAAGAGCAAATATACCTCTGTTGTCTCTGGATGGGATTTCACTTCTTCCCGGTGCAATAGTTCTACGATTCTACACACAAACAAAAGCGTACAAAAAGGTTCAAAAGATGCAAACAATTAGTGCAAACTCAACATTTAAGTGATCTTCTACAAACCTTAGGGATTTTGTTGACTTTCACAGAGCTGGGTGTAGGAGGCGGTGGTGTAACAGGGCTCAAGGAAATCTCTTCCTCTGCAGCAACATCTGGATTTAGTGAGAATATGCACTCCAAATCAATCTGTTAGAAAAAAGAGAGATTTTTTTCGGATCACTTCTATCCAAAACAGGGTTATTAGTTAACTAAAACTGAAATTAAAACCCTAAAAACACATTTTTGAAATAAAATAAATGTTAACTAAAATAAAATATAAAAAACTGCACCTTCAAAAATGACTACATATTTAACTAGAATGGAAAAGAAATGGAAAATATATAAATAAAAACTGATTCAAAATATTAATAAAAACTATACACTAAAATAACACTGATCATACCAATTACCAAAGCATACAAAATGCCCTAATATTAAAAAAAGGTACAGGCCAGGGTATGATTGCAGAATTCATATTTAAAAGGAACACAGCACGTGTCCACTGACTGAGGGCATACTGCACCCTAACAACACCAGAATGTTGTTCCATCCATAATTAATAATAAAGGCAGCTGAGAGGCTAGACTTACCTCTTTCCCTTTGGTGTCTCCATTTTCTATCCATTCCACAGTAACACTGTCATTATCTTCATTCAAAGAGGTCACCATGGCCTGGTGTATTCGCCCTGTAAGAAATCCAACAGCTCTAAGTGAGAAAGACAAATGAAAAACATTCATTCATATGTTTTGATATTCTAAACAAGTTTGAGTGGATCTTGAAGAGGTCGTGCACAAGATGGCATGAACGCAAAAACCTGCATCAGAAGTTGTGCTCATCAACTACTGAAAAGTCTCTCAGAGCATCACCGAAAACAAACAGCCATGTTTCCGTATCTATTATTCAGAGCTATTCCTACTCGCACGTCTCCATCCCTGCAATTATTCAACAGCGGCATCAGCAGGAAAAAGCACATATTATCCTGCCATAAAACAAGCTATTTAAAACCCCAGCATGCAACATCAGGCCAAAAGAAAAGTCAAGACCCTGCTTTAAGTAAAAGGCACTAGAGTGTTTAAAATGTCACAAGCACTGCTCGTCTTCAGAGAGCAAGTCAACAGTCTCTATTACGCAATACACAAAACTTCCCAAAGAGACAGGAGTGGTTTGTTTAACACGCCAACAGATCCAGGCTCATTTGTTTCTTTGCTACAAACTGAAGTTAAATATAACACAGCCTTCTCAAAGAGATAAAATCATAATCTGTTCTGACAGTCTTCAACATTGTATTGATGCTAATACCAATAAAATGCCACTGAATGCTCACAAGACACAGACAACACTAGGTTTCACTAAATCTACATTTCTGTACTGAGACATCAGCAGAAACTAATTTGATTGTCATTGCAGATTTACTGTCTTAATCTTAATTAAACATCTTAAATGGATTGTATTTTTATGACCAAAAAGATAGATTATTTTTAAGTGTCCATAACAAATATGCAGAACAATTTGTGTTTGGTTTTAACAACATTAAATTTAATTACCTTTAAACTACAATGGAATTGTATTCTTTAATAACAAGAATAATGTAATAGTAGTATATGCAAAGTTGTTTTACTATCTAAAGGGGAAAAAATAGTTATCATCTCTAGGCCTATGTCTTTGGCCACATTTTTAACTTTAAAAATAAATGGCTGTTTAAAAAAAAAAAAAGTTGAGTAGTTATCCAAACAATACATTAAATAGGCAACATGCAAAAGCCTTTATTTGGTTCTATTTGTGAGTGATTGAACTGTGAATATTGGTAAGTAATATATGTATATATATAATCAGTCACTAAATCATCTGTCTGTCTATAATAATGCAACCAGTCCCAAGCTTCTGCTGTCAGCATTTCTTTTGGCCATTAGGATGAGATCAACATCTGAGCCCACATTACATAACTTTTAGGGAACTTGCTTGTCATCTTCAAAGCATGACACTTACGGAGTCATCTGTCCATATTATCATAAATATGTAAACTCTCAGGTGTCATCATAACTTCAAATGAGTGACTGATGTGTGAACTTAAGTGAGCTGAATCAAAACTTGCAGTGAGTTTAAGGCTCAAAACTACCAAGCTAAATCAGCTGGTTTGAGTAAACCCAGCAACTTCCCTCTCCACACTTATTTACACCCAATCTGTAAAACAAAACATTCATTGGCAAATTACTTAAAATGGCTAACCCACCTAAATCCAGAATCACCAGGACTTCCATGATTATATTCCCTACCAATATAAGACATAAATAATTCCCCAATAATCTGCATCATGTAAGTTAAGCCAGTTGTTGAGCTCAAATCAAATACAATTACGGATAACTAAACAAACTCCACCCGGTTTAGCAGGTGGCTAACGTCGTCAACCGACAGTTCCACTGTTGATTGACACAAGCTCGTTAACTACCCCGGCAACCAGCAGCAACAGACCAAACTTAACGCCATATATCGATTTATACCAGGCTCAACCACCTAAACTGTCGTTTCTGTCATGTGTATTTGTGAGGTAACGTTAGCATCCGTTAGCCGAACCGGGGCAACGACTTTAACGGACGGTTACAAGCGACCCAAATATGAACTCACCATCGCTGCGCTTTATCTCCACAAAAATCCCCACGACGATCTTGCCGAAGGTCGCCGCCATGGCTCATTTATGGGACGATGGGAATAGTCAGATAGACGGGCGTGTGGGAACTAAAAACAGTGTTTGTGTTTGAATTTTTCACATTTGTTGTTCCGTGTTGCTCAAAACCGGGAGGCGGCCACAGCGCGAGACATAAAGGGAGAGAGTTCAGGGCGCGTGCGCGGGGGACGTCCGACTTGCGTGGGTTTTTTTACCCACAAGTCCCGCCTTCTGCACTAGGATTGGCTAGAAGCAGCTGGAGCCTGGAGCATAGACTGTAAAAAATAGGCCTGGAGGTTTCCGATCGGACAGTTTACCGGTAGTTAAGAGCTCTGGGTAAGAGGTAACCTCAGCAATCAGTAAGCAGAGAGGAAGCGGAAAGGTTGCTGTGTGGCAAAAATTAAATGTGTTAATGAAACTAGTAGGCACATTGAACTTAGTTTGGGGAAAATATACCTAATCAGTTGAGAAAAAATATATTCCACATATCAAAAAAAAAAAAAAATACTTGTAACAAATCCTTCCCTCCATATTATTTTTTTTAGTCCAGAAAGCTTAGCCTAAATCGTTTTCTTCTTTTTTAAAATATTTTTTCTATTTTTAGCAATTTTTGAAAATATTTTGTTATTTGGGGTTCTGCAAACTGCATCTGCAAACCTATTGATAAATCTTTGTAAATGTGTTCAAATTGTAACCACTTTATCTGTGTGTCATGACTGATTGATTTTTATATGAGATTTAAATGGGAAGGTGTGTGTGTGTGTGTGTGTGTGTGTGTGTGTGTGTGTGTGTGTGTGTGTGTGTGTGTGTGTGTGTGTGTGTGTGTGTGTGTGTGTGTGTGTGTCCCGCGTATGTGCGTGTGTGTGTGTTTTGCATTGGGGATGTTCTAGTCTCATGACTTCATTTGTGTGTGTGTTTGTTCTGGATTGTAGCAGATTTTTGATAGCTATATTTTTGACAAATTAAAAGAAAATTCCACATTTCCCATTCATTGGGGTTTATTCAAAATGACCTGCGAGGTAAGGATTTGTTACTATTTTTATTACAACCACATAAACTCCTCGAATCCAGTCAAATTATTTTTGTGTATTCCAAGTTCAAGTGCGACAAATCTCCCAATGTCTTTGACCACTCCAGCGAACACTCAATTTCTAAAAATCAAACGAAAATGATTTATGGGTCAAAATGACCAGAGGAGAGGATGGGATTAATTCTCTTTTATTGAATTCATGCATTATTTCTTCACATTTTTTAGTATTTCATATAAAGTCACTTAAAACAAGGAGAAAAGGGCAAAGAAAATGGGGTTAATGGCAATGCACAATTGTTTGAATTTGTTTAACTTTATTGATTCTATTAGGTTGATAAGATAAGCATGTTTATGAATAATACATTATTAAATAAATAGGCCTAAAATAAGTAAATAAACTATACAAACTTAAAAATTAAACTACTGGGAACGAGCATCTAATGAGGTCTATATCGATCAGTTTATCATGTATAGTCAATCTTGTTCACAGCAATTGAGAGAAAGGTTGAGTTATGTATGTCTGATTTGTTGTCATATGTGAGGAAAGTGTTTATGATGCTTGCACATACAGTATGTTCTCAGAGTTTCTTTTCTAGATTTGTAGTGGTAGACACACAGTTTTAATAGGATTAATAAGACTTATTTCGGTCGTCAGAATGATTTTTATTTTTAATGAATTTAAAAATATATATTAATGAATTTTTAATGAATCATTAAAGCGAGTGTTTGTTGAAGTCACTGAGATGAATCAAAATCCGCATCGCTATACCAATCATGTGAAATCTGACAGTAGCAGGTTCTGGCGCCTAATTGGTCTACATTGGAAGCTTCTCTTTCTGAATGACCTTGTGGATGCTGAGGGAAAAGTTCTGGTTGCGTAACACTGTACTGTATTCTGTGTTGAGAGGAAGTTCTGACGTTTGCTTCCTTAATTCTTTGTCCGCCCTCTGTCTAAAGAAATTCCAGAATTGCAAAATGTGCTTTTGCTTTCACTAACTTTCAGTAATACCCATTCGAGAATTAAAGCGATTCAGTCTGCAGAGTGAGACGGAGGAGAGATGGCAGACTGTCCGGATGAAACCACCACATTATTAAGAAACAACCCAACCCAAATTAGGTGACTTTTTTTGCTTTGTTGTGTTTTCCTTTATTTTATATATTGTTTAAAAAAATGTCATGTATTGTGTTCATTTGATTGTTTGTACTTTTCAGACATGGAAGGCTCTACCTTGCTGTGTTTTCAGCTGTTTTGGGCAATTTCAATTTTGGATTTGCCTTAGTGTTCCCCTCCCCTGTCATCCCCCAACTTCAAAAGGGTGATGACCCTCGGCTCCAAATGGACATCCATCAGATATCATGGTTTGGTGTAAGATCATTTATGTATATAGAAGATGTTTTCAGGTACATACAGATAATACAGAATCCCGTCTAGCTAGTTTCTCTTCTTTCGTTTAGTCAATTTTCACCCTTGGAGCCGCCGTAGGGGGTCTTAGTGCCATGGTGCTCAATGACCGAGTTGGGAGAAAGATGAGCATCATGTTGTCTGGAGTACCATCTGCTGCAGGTCTCCTTGTGATGGGGTCCGCACAAAATTTCTGGATGTTATTATGGGGCAGATTTCTGACTGGCATCGCTGGTGGTATCACCTCTGGCTCCATTCCTGTAAGTTATCTGTTTTAGTCCATCTTGTTTTTCGATTGATGAACACACCTCTAGTAAATCTACAGTGCCACGGTAACATTTAATAGTATTTTTGTGTTTTTTAGTAAGTTTGCAGTCTGATTTGAATCTGATAAGATAAAAACACTGGGTGGCAAGAAATAATACTCAGACATGAAATATTTAACATGTCTGCTGGCTTCACTCAAAAACACAGTGCAACCATTGATTCACAAATAAATAACTTTTTAATGAATCGGTTGTAGAGACTGCTTACTGATTGGATGTTTGTATGACCACATGTTGTTAAAGGGGTCATGGCATGACAAATCAAATTTGCTTTGATCTTTTGACACATAAGACGTCTGTGTAACATCCTGCAAGTTTCTTAGCTTAAAATGACCTCCTCATTATAAACAAAGCATTTATTTAAAACCGATCCAAAAATGGCTCGTTTGGATATTGTGGGATTTATGACGTCAAACGGGCAAATACATTTGCATATGACTGCCTCCAGAGCAAGACATCAATGAATAGTTATACATCATCGCACCATAGGCCCCACCCACTCGTGTTCAGTCGTTTGCCGACACTGGATGTGAACGTCACGTCGCGTCAAAAGCAAATAGAACCCATTATAATCACTGACTCTGTCTACACTGGATACAGTACACAGATGCACATTCAGTGGTTTCTGACATTGTCCAGGCACTTGAGTGTGCTGAAAACAGGACAAATGGAAGAGTGAAAGAACGTTCGTTTTGACTCATCCTGTGTACAAAGTTTGTTTGCGTCTCTGTACAGACTTCAAAAGGACCTCAGTGGATGGTGGTGGATGGATAAACAAGTGGATGGTTTATTTTTAATTGTTTCCCAGATTGCGTTGGAGGATTATGGGCCCTATCATACACCTGGCGACAAAGCAGCACAAGGTGCGAGTGCGACGCAAGTGTTTTTTGCTAGTTTCAGCCCGACGCTGTTATCATTTTCACATCCGGCGCCACGTTATTTAAATAGCAAATGCATTTGCGCCCATTTCTTCGCCTATGGGCATGCTGGTCTGTGTTCAGGCGCATTGTTGGCTCGTTGCTATTTTGAGGCAACTGAAATAGACTGCGCCATTGACCAACAAAAACCTGGTCTAAAGTCAATGGCGCAATATGTTTTTTGTTATTTAAAGAGCGTGTTAATGTGCGCCTATAGGCGCGGGTCCACAACGCGCGCACACTTTGTCCCGTAGATGGTCTGCTCGCGCACTTTAACCTCGCGCACAAGCAGATCCGTTTCCTCGCTAGAGAAGTGTTCAGTTTTTATGTAAATGTGAATCCGCCATGGCGCGAGCGTAACTGGCTTTTAAAGGGAATGGGAGATGAGACTCTGATTGGTTTATTGCACGTTACACCCAAAACACACCCATTACTCATTAAGAGAATAGAGACAACACTTTTCGACCATGGGCCGACCATTTTTCCGTCGTTAAACTAGCAAAGCGTTTAGAGCGTTTGTCTGCAGATTGTTTTGTAAATGAGGCCCAGCGTAATGGAGAGTAGACACTTTTGTTGAAAGATTAAGCAGCCAACTGTACTGGATCTGATAGCAGCTGCATCACAAAACGTAGGCCTAAGTAAATAATTTCATAATGCTCTGTCTGTAAATTATGGTTTTATATGGATAATGTTTCAAAACACCTACTTGCGTGAAATAGTATCCTGTTTCCTATATGGAATGACGTTAGCCAATCATAACAGTAGCCGTTAACTGACAAGCCTTAAAGGAGCCGCCCCTAAAAAACGGATCATTTCAAACAGAGGGTCAGAATGAGGGCTGGAAATAATCTATTTTCCGCATATATATTTGTTCTTTTTGTGGGAAAATCTTTATTAACATTATAAGTGAACCTCAACATATAAAAATAATTTTAAAAAATCCATGTTATGACCCTTTTAAATATAAACATTAGAGTTTAACTGTAACAAGTGGAATTTGAATTAATGGAATGTCTAATGGGTCTCATTGACATCAGCTGATGTTTTTTGCAAACAGGTGTATGTGTCAGAGATTTCACACCCATCTGTGAGAGGTGCGCTGGGTTCATGTCCTCAGATCACAGCTGTCTTTGGAAGTCTAGCACTCTACGCTCTTGGTAAGAGAGCTCATATTTTTCAGGTTGTTTTGGCTCTATGAAAAACACTTTCTCCAACACTTTCAAGAATTTCCTAGTACGTCCTTTATGAATGATGCTGTTTTATGGTCTCTCTCCAGGCTTGATTTTGCCGTGGAGATGGCTGGCTGTGGCTGGGGAGGTCCCTGTGATTATCATGATGATTTTGCTTTGCTTCATGCCAACCTCCCCACGTTACCTCACGATGAAAGGAAACAGAGAAAAAGCAGTTAAATCGCTAGAATGGCTGAGGGGCCCCAATTCTGATTACTTGACTGAGTTCAGTAAGATCGAGCGCAGTATCAACTCTCAGGTAAAGCACACAGTGGATTACATCATATTATCAGGGCAGTTTTGCCATAAAATAAAAGGTCATGCAAATAGAGTTAATTAGGGAGAATGGGGTCATTCATATATATTGTTCCATTTGTTTAATCACAAACATTAATAATCAGACAGCTTAAAGGATTAGTTCACTTCAGAATTCAAATTTCCTGATAATTTACTCACCCCCACGCCATGCAAGATGTTCATGTCTTTCTTTCTTCAGTCGAAAAGAAATGAAGGTTTTTGAGGAAAACATTCCAGGATTTTTCTCCATATAGCGGACTTCAATGGGGTCCAACGGTTTGAAGGTCCAAATTGCAGTTTCAGTGCAGCTTCAAAGGCTCTACACGATCCCAGCTGAGGAATAAGGGTCTTATCTAGCGAAATGATCTGTTATTTTCTAAAAAAAAACAAAACATTTATATACTTTTCAACCACAAATGCTCATCTGGCACTAGTTCTGCGATGCGCCACGCATTAAGTAATCACGTTGAAAGGTCACGCCTGTTCCGGTTTCCGGTCCAAATTAGTCTTTGCACGTTCACTTTGTACACACTAGGTCGGTACTTCCGCCTATGTCACGCGTGACCTTTCAACGTGATTTCGTGTGGTTAAAAAGTATATATTATATATGAAAATGACCAAACATTTCACTAGATATTCCTAGTATTCCTTATTCTCCTTATTCCTCGTCTGAGATCGCGTAGAGCCTTTGAAGCTGCATTGAAACTGCAATTTGGACCTTCAAACCGTTGGACCCCATTGAAGTCCACTATATGGAGAAAAATCCTGAAATGTTTTCCTCAAAAACCTTCATTTCTTTTCAACTGAAGAAAGAAAGACATGAACATCTTGGATGACGTGGGGGTGAGTAAATTATCAGGAAATGTTTATTCTGAAGTGAACTAATCCTTTAAGGTATAAAAGTTGCTTATATTTTTTATTTGAATTGAATCTCAAAAAGTGCAAATTGTATGATTGAATTGAAAGATTTAATGTTCTTCAAAAGGGGGCTGACAATTATTGTTTGATTTTAAATGACATGCATCTTTTCACCAACAAGGGGGCACAATGGAGTGATCTTAAAACCCCTTTATACTATAAACCAATCCTAATCTCAGTCTTCATGAGATTTCTGCAGCAGATGACTGGTATAACCCCAATTCTGGTATATTTGGAGCCCATCTTCCACATAACAGCTATATCACTGGTATGTCACATAGAGTATGTACATATTTATTACCATGAAAAAAACTGAAAGCACATTTACACACAAAAAAAAGTTAAAAGAAAGTTGTCATTCAGGAACCGAAATATGATGCAGCATTAGTGGGAGCTGTAAGATTGATATCTGTCGCTATTGCAGCCAGTTTGATGGACAAAGCAGGTCGAAAAGCTTTGCTCTTCACTTCAGGTTTGTGTAGAATAAAATATACTTGGTAAATTTGATTAATTGGGAACAGACCAATGAATAAAATATCTAATTTTCTTCCTTTAGGATTTTTGATGTTTATAGCCATGCTTTCAATGACCATGTACACCCACAAAACACCATGCAGCCATAGCAATCTTACCTTAACAGAGGGTTTGAAGAGCGCCTATGGAGGCTCAGCGGGCCCTGCCTTCGATCCAATGACTCTAATTCCTCTCATTAGCACTATGGTCATCATTTTTGGTGAGTTTGCTTAGTTTCAGGTTGTTTGTTCATGTACACTTTGCTTTTACTTACTGTAGAATCTTTTTGTTTAAACTTGTTGATTAGTATGACACTTTAGTTGTTATAGCTTAACATTATTATTTTGAAATGGCTTAAAAGGGACTTTACAGGGAAGCCATTTTGGCAATGGGACTGGATTACATAATTTTCAGAATTAGAATTTATAAAGCCAATTCACAGTGAACTGACAGATGCCAACCAACAGCAACAGACACACTTCATCGGATCAGTGTCGATCCGGTGTCGATCACCATGTCGATTTAGTCACCACTTGTTTTTTGCCGATTGAACGTTCATTTGTCGGGTCATGAAACGTCTGAGAAGTGAGTGACGCACTGTATCTGGTGGTTTGTCTGCATTATTTGGCATCTGTTGCTGCAGTGTGAATTGGCCCGTAGAATTAGTTCTAGTTCTATTTCCTCATAACATGCAGCACAACATTACTGATTACTTTGCCATGCAGGTTATGCCATGGGTTGGGGGCCAATCACATGGCTGCTAATGTCAGAGATCTTACCCTTGGGTGCGCGTGGGATAGCATCTGGTTTGTGTGTTGGTGTTAGCTGGATCACAGCCTTTGTTCTGACGCAACTCTTCATGCATGTGGTGGTGAGATAAATCTATTTATACACACATAGAAACAGGAAATGAAAATATATTTTGAATCTTTAATCTTATCTGAACTTAACAACATCCTTGTTCAAGGTCATTAAAAGATAATACAAGCTGCTCTTGATAATTTACTCATATTATACATGGTTCTTTGTTTCTTATCTGATTTAAAATTTTTATCAGTATAACTGTAAAAGGCAAACTTTTCACATCTTTTCATATAGGAAGCCTATGGACTTTTTGCACCTTTCCTGTTCTTCTGTGTCGTCTCGGTAGTGAATATAATTTTCACTGCTAAATGTGTGCCAGAAACTAAAGGCCGAACTCTGGAGGAAATTGAGAACTATTTCAAGACTGGCCGAAGCTTCACCATTCATGATCCTTAAAATAGCCATATCGTCCCCTTGGAATTATAAGGTTCTATCTGACATTTTTGTCAAAATTTAGTTATTCACATATTCATATTCTGTGACCACTTCTTTACATTATGTGATGATGTTTTTTAAGTTTTGGAACTTTTTATTTAGAAAATAAAAAGGTTCTTTCTACACAGTCAAATGGAATGCAAAAACTTTAAAGTTCAATATCTCAAAACTGCTCAGAACGCAGATAGAACCTTATAATTCCAAGGGGACGATATGCTATTTTTATAACAAATAATGTAAATGTATATATTGCATTGTCTTACCACACACACACACACACACACACACACACACACACACACACACACTTGTTGTGTTTTCATGTTTTATGGGGACTTTCCATAGACATAATGATTTTTATAGTACAAACTGTATATTCTATTCCCTTACACTGCCCCTATCCCTAAACCTACCCATCACAGGAAACATTCTGCATTTTTACATTTTCAAACAACATCACTTAGTATGATTTATAAGCTGATTTCCTCATGGGGACCAAAAAATGTCCCCGCACGAACAAGGATTTCGGATATTGCCATCCTTGTGGGGACATTTTGTCCCCATAACGTAGGGTTTACCAGGCCACACACACACACACACACACACACACACACACACACACACACACACACACACACACACACACACACACACACACACACACACTTGTTGTAAGACAATTCAATATGTGTGTAACTGTTTATCTTTCTGAATGATCCATGATGTAAATACATTAATTTCTCTTAAAAGTGTGTATATAGTGTATATGTATGTATATTACTATAAAGATTACATCTCTATATCCTCTCAGTTTCAATGATAAGAACATGTGACACTGCATTTCCCTTTCACTGTTCCGCATTTGTTTCCATCAGTGTGACCAAACTAAACCTATTGCACAAAATGTGTTTGTCCAGGAACAAAAGTACAGTGATACAGAGAAGTTCAGAAAGAAAGCATGATTTCATCCAGATGGGTGTGGACCACAGACTTGAGCAAGACTTAAATATATATTTATGCATCATTCTATTCTGTAAATTCTACTGGTCTTGGTCATGTGCTGATTTATGAATAAAGATTTTTGTTGTTAATATTATTTACTGAAGTTAATGCTATGCACAAAAATGATTATTTGTTTCTTATTGATTCCTTTTATATGATTTTATTTGTTTGTTATTTATTGTTTGTCCATTCTTCTTTCCCAATTAATTAAATAGATCATTTTTTTTAGGAAGCATATATTTTTCAAACGAAAGCTTTCCGTTTCAGAGAAAACATAAGTTTCTTCTCATTGACAGATTTAATATGATTGCTCTTCCTGCTGATACGGTGCTTCCTGTCAATCAACACCGACTATGTGTTATGCACCACTACATCTGCTAAAAATCTGTCAAAACGCCTACAGGTGGTCAGCAGTGCATTATCTGATAGGCTTATGTACGTCATTCTTGGTTCTCAATCTCTGAAACTGACCTCCTACACCAATGAATGGCAGATTTGGCCACAACCATTATAATAATATCATATTGTTCAATTTTAAAGTCAAATTTTATTTTAAAAATAATAAGAAGAAGAATGTTAACTGTTAATTATTGGGAAATAAAAAAAAGTTAATTAAGATCATTTGATCTGCAGTATCCCAGCATAGGCTAATTCTCTGGCTCTTATCCAAGAGGTAGGTTGCTTAACATGTAAAAAAAAAACAATTTTAAGAAAAAATCATGTGATGAATGTTTTGCTTTAAGCAGCTTTATTGGTGAGTGAAGGGTTGCCAAAAAATCTGTTACATTAGGGTGTTTAACCTTACATTACACAATCAGGAAGGGAGACCTGTCATAGCCTCTTAACATAGCCATTGTATAATTTATTTATTTATTTATGAATGTGTGGATTTTATTTATTTAGCTTTATTTCTTCATAGTAGTCTGAGGAAACATTGTAATTAATTGTGAAACATATCTTTATGGTTTAACAGTCTAATACAAGGCTATATATTTTAGAATCTAAAATCTCATGAAATTCACTCTTCCTTATCTGCTGATGTCCTGGCTTGAATGCACCCCGCGGACACGTTTTTATTCCCGTTGATTTTTACGTAACACCCTAGAAAGTGTCTGCAGCCAGAAGAACATGAAGTCGCCATCAGCACCGTGTTACTTAAGAGAACTGAGGAACCCCTCCAGTGAGTTTCATAATTAGGTTTTGTAAGGGCATGGTGACGTAAGGGCATGTGAGGGCTTTGGAAGCCAGTGGGCTACAAATGCAGTTCCTCGTCGCACTGAAAACATTGTTTAACCCCCCAACTCGGACTGTGAACCAAACATGAAAAATATCAGGGTGAAAGTAATTGGAAGTCAAGTTATTTCAGCCGAACTTGTGGTAGGACTGCTACTCAGCATCGCGTATCGGATGTGTTCCAGTTTGGCTTTTTCCTCAGAGGTGGGTTTTTACTTGCTGTGTGAGTGAAATCATGTTGCCTAATTATATACAGTAATGTGTTTGTAAATGTTAATAAGCGAAAGCAAACTAATATTGTTTTGTATAAAAATTCCTGCAAAATGGCAAACGTTCTGTTTTCTTTAGAATGCCATGGTAGCTAATATCCAATAAAATACCATAGGCTACTGCAGTTTTGAAACTGGAACAAATGAATATTGAAAGTCATAAAGGCAAGTTCACTCAAAACAATTTGAATGAAACAGAACGCACCAGACGCGTCATTACGTGACACGCGCGTTGTAAAAACGCAACGCTCCTCTTTACACAAGAAAAGTTTCTGTGTAGCCTACGCCGCTTGGAAGTTCCAGATTTTATTTTTGTTCTATTGTAATACAGTTAAGTAACTTATTGTGCATCTTTGCTGAAATCATTGTTACTATGGTAATATTTTTGTAAAGCGTTCACGCTCGTGTGTTGCAGGAAAGCGTCAGTGACGGAAGCGCGCAGTTTGAAGTAACGCGCTCACTCGTGTGTGTGTGGGTTGCCAGTAATGTTAAGTTCATTTTCTTTAAAAGCAACAACCATCCACTTTCTCTGTCTGCTCATTCCATATCAAGGCTTGTGGTAAGTGCAATGCACAAGCTCAATATGCATTGTTTAAGAAATATATTGTTTGTCAGCCTAATCTAAAAATATGCTAGGCCTACTAATGTGGTATGATGACTTAGATTAATTTACACCAACATATATTTTAAGGGTTAGGGGAGGATGGCCCTTTAAAATTGTAACAACTGCAAAAAGTGGATGCAAGTATTGTTGTCTCAATTATATATTTGTACTTGATATTGCCTAACACTTAAAATTACATTTGTTGGTGTAACTTAAAGGGATACTCCACCCAAAAAATGAAAAGTATGTCATCATTTAGTCACCCTCAAGTTGTTGCAAACCTGTGTGAGTTTCTTTCTTCTGCTGAACACAAAGGAAAATATTTTGAAGAACGATTGGAACCAAACAGTTGTTTGGCACCATTGACTTCCATATAGTAGAAAAAAAATACTATGGAAGTCAATGGTGCCAATGTTCCAATCGTTCTTCAAAACATCTTCCTTTGTGTTCAGCAGAAGAAAGACACTCATACAGTTTTGCAACTACTTGAGGGTGAGTAAATGATGACAGAATTTTCATTTTTGGGTGGAGTATCCCTTTAATGCTGTCAGGTTAATTCTGTCATATTGTATAATATTTTTTTAACTATACCTGACATTTTTTACAGTGTATTTCTGTAGTATATATTGCCAGGTGTGTTATGTTTATAACAAAGTCAGACAAATACTTTATTCTTCATACATTAGCCTTCAAAAGTTTGGGCTCAGTAGCATAAGTTTTTTTTTATTTTATTTTTATAAATTAGGCCTAATAGGCTACTCAGTTTCAATACTTTTATTCATCAACGATGCATTATATTGATCAAAAGTGATTGCAAGGGCAGTTATTAAAACTATTTATATTTCAGATAAATTCTTTTGAACTTTCTATTCATCAAAGAATACTGAAAACATTTACAACATTGGTAATAATAATAGCAAATGTTCTTGAGCACCAAATCAGCATATAAGAATGATTTCTGAATAATCATGTGACACTGAAGACTGAAGTAATGATGCTGAAAATATATTAAAATAGAAAACAGTTTTCTTACATTGTAATAATATTTCAAATATTACTGTTTTTCCGATTAAGCAAATGCAACCCAAACTTTTGAACTGTAGTGTATATATTTAAATGGCGCATCAATTTAGTATTTATTGTTACATTTAATACATTTAAAAAAAATGAATTAAATACAAATTTTAAATGTCTTTTTATACAGGCTTTCCTTTCATTGTTAGGAGTCTGCAGAGAGGGACGCATTCAAGGAAGAGATCGTAAACATGTATGTTAAATGAAAACTTAATGTGAGCATAATTACTGCAAGTCACTTTGGTATGGTATGCATCTGAAGACGAATGTAAAATGCAGTGCTCTTGACTTTTTCTGTTCTCTCATACTCTCCAGCTTCCCATGGTGGATGTGGCAGTGTTCTTGTTCGTTCTTCTAAGCAGTTTGATTCTTTTGATCTTGGATCACAATCAGCTGCAAGGCTCTTTGAAACGATCTGAACGGCCCAGTAAGCCCCAGAGCTTTTTCCTTCAAATGGATTTTTTTGCCAACTTCATTTTTGGCCTCATGTGGTTGGTTTTTCCAGGATGGCTACTTGGGTCACAGGTAAAAACCTTGGACTATGTTTGATGGAAGTCAAGTCAAGTCACCTTTATTTATATAGCGCTTTATACAGATTGTTTCAAAGCAGCTTTACAGTGATGAACAGGAACATAATGATTTTGTGATGCAAAACAGAGTTCAATTCTGCTGTAAAGCAGCTCTAAAAAGAAAATACTGACAGTGTTTAGCTGAGGTCAGTTCAGCATTGATTCAGTTGCGTTCAATAACTGTGTAAAGTTCATCAAATATGAAATGAGTTCAGTAAATCTGTAAAGCAGCTCTGGAGAAAACAGTGATGTCATCAAGAATAGCACAAAGTTAGGCAGCTAAAGTTTATCTATTATCAATAGATATTAATCATTTGTGTATCAATCCATTGTAGATTAGTGGATCTGAGGATAATCTTCATCTCACACGTGCATTTGGAGCCATGATGGTTGGAGACAGCTTTGTTTCTTTTACCACTCAGAAACAAATGGCAACCAATGAAGTATCAGTCTTCAGCTGCCGAGCTGTGGTAAGTCATATTGTCAGAACATATTGCAGACTTGTTAACATAAGATGATTTCACATATTGCAGACTTGTTAACATAAGATGATTTCACATATTGCAGACTTGTTAACATAAGATGATTTCACACGATTAAGCAAACTGTAACAACTGCAAAAAGTGAAATATCTGTACTTCGTATAAAACTTAAAATTACCTGTGTTGGTGTAATTTAATGCAGTCAGGTTAATTCTGTCATATATATATATATTTTTTAACATTAAGTACATTTTTGCAGTGTAGTATATATTGCCAGGTGTGTTTTGTTAATAATAAAATAAAAAATACACTATAACACAGAAATTAATACTTTTATTTATCAAGGATGCAATAAATTGATCAAAAGTGATGGTAAGGACAGTTATAATGTTACAAAAACAAATCTATTTCAAATAAATGCCCTTCTTTTGAACTTACCATTCATCAGAGAATGCTAAAAATGTATTATGTTTTCCACAAAAATACTGAGCAGAACAACTGTTTTCAACATTGATAATAATAACCGATGTTCTTGAGCACCAAATCAGCATATTAGAATGATTTCTAAACATAATGTTAAGGTATGCACACTTGTTAAGGTTAGGATTTAATTAAATTGATTGCGATAGTCTTTTCTTCCCTAATGTGACGTACTCTATATCCGAGTAAACGGCTTCTGGAATGAGAAAAATGCAGGCGGGATTTGATTTTGTCGTTAACACTTTTCATTAGTTGACTACATTAGTTAACTAATTACATGAACTAATTATGAACTCTACTTCTACAGCTATTTAATAATCTTTGTTAATGTTAATTTCAACATTTAGTATAACAATTACAACTTTAGGATTTAATAATGTATAAGTCCCCCTGTAGTCAATAATTTTATCAACCTTATAACTCAACCTTGATCACCAAAATTATATATTTAAACTTTTTTTTTCTTTTCTTCATGCCTTAAAATAGCTTGAATGTAACTCTACACCCTTGCTACATTTACTATATTCGGTTCTAATAATATGGAAATTAGCCCCGCCTCCACTAACTCACACCAGCTCAGAGAACCACTGGTTGACGAGCACACGTTGATCTGATTGGTTACAAGGTAGTTTGTGATGTCAGAAACGCCAGCGATTTCAAACCGTGTTTTTGAGACTGTCTTTGGTTCACTGCAGTTTTAAGGAGAAAATACTCAGCAATGGTGTTGACTTATGAATTTCCACATGGTTTGTCTTAAAGCATATTAAAAAGTTGACCGAGTGGATCTCTGAGCTGGTGCGAGTGAATGGAGGCGGGGCTAATTTGAATATTCATGAATGTTCCGCGTATACTAATTTGAGTTCCATTCAAGCTACTTTAAGGCATGAAGAATTTTTTTCACAGGAAAAAACAATTAAATATATAATTTTGGTGATCAAAGATTTGTTTTAAGGGATACAATTATTGACTACAGGGGGACTTCAGTAATAAACACTGCAACATTCGGTAGAAATGTCAACAATCAAGAAATGTCCATTTTGATTTCATGGTGACTTTAAACACATATAAATCTGTATCCATTTAGGGGACTTTGGCAGTTGTCGTCTTCTTGATCCACACCCAGCTCACCACATCGGCATGGAAAACCCCACATCTCTGTTTCTGCCTAGTAGGGGTCAGTCTCTGGGCTGTTAACTCCATCCTTGGCTACCTGAGCTCCAAAGACACGAGGACAGAGTCAGTGAATGATATATATTGGCGTGCTGTACAGAAAAACGACAGAAGACTTTATATACGATAGATTTTGTCTGCAGACATCATTCGGTGCATTTTGATGATGTTTTATGATGTTTATGACAAACTGTTTATACTGTAAATATAGTGTTATTGTGTTTATAAATAATAAATAGATGTATTTCTTTGTACATAATTGTTCTTTTTAATTTATACGTATGAATATTGTAATTAAATTGAAAATAATCAAATATACATATGCATTTAAAGACAAACTTGTCATGTTGTGAGTGCAGGTGATGAGTAGAGCACTTCATAAAAAGTAAAAACATTTAGTCAGCTGTCTGTGACCTGCCTTTCACACTCTCAGGCGTCGAGTCATTCTCCTGCAATATTCACTGAACCATTTGTTTTGTGACTTAGGATCCAACAACCGAGGTTTCCACAAGCACAAAACTGCAAATATACTGCATGAACTGTGCTAAAATACTTTCTTTCTTTCGTCTCTGGCTACATCTCCTGTCTTGTGTTGATTGTCATTGGCAGCTTAATGCGTATGTTGGTCTCTTTGGCAAGACCTGTGCGAACAGCAACACGGGCCTTAATTGAACTTTGTTCTTCCAGCAAAGGCCATGATGTAGTCTAACTTATCAAGAGCCTGCAAAGCCCAAATAAACAGCTTTACCGTGCAGCAGAGACCTATTAACACCTCCATCAACCTGTGCCAGAGCTTTGCACAAGAAATCTGATTCAACAGCTCAGTTACTGCATAGTGTGTGTTTTAAATATGGCCACTTGATGGCGCTCCATACACAGAGATTACAGTCTCTGGCGCTCCTTCATCAAATAATAGACAGACAGTGCTGGTAAATTTGCCATGAACTGTTGTTATTAAAATGCCATTTCTAAATGACATTTAGATAATCAGACCTGAAACTACTGTTGGATGTGGCACAATTATCCTAATAAGCTCTTTATCTTGTAAAATTAAGCAGTAAGATGACAGACTTGGTTCAAGATGGCTATTTCATTCAGTCCCTCTTTTTCCTCATGCACATAAGGGGTTAAAATGAAAATTCTGTCATCATTTTGATCCCATTGTTTTCTGAGGAACACAATAGGAACAAATTCTAAAGAAGTGTACTGGTTGCTCTTTCCCAAGCAATTACAATGAATGACAACTGAAGGTTTCAATCTTCAAAGTGCACAAAAGCACTGTAAAAGTATCATAAAAGTAGTTCATATGACTCGTGCACTATATTCCAAGTTTTTTAAAGCCTTATAATAGCTTGTGTGAAAACAGGCCAAAATTGGTCAAAAACGATATGCACACATACAAACTGACAGTTTTTTAAATATTCAAATGTACTGCATAAAAAAAAAAAAAAGGAACATCCACTCAAAGCAACGGACCAATGAAATTATTTCAAATTCACACACTATTGATTCCCATATTTATATTTATTAATATATATTTTAAATATATCTTTACATAATTAAATACTATATATTTTATTAATGATGAACTTTTTTTTTTTTTTACAAAAACAAGCCCCTTTAAGATTAATTACATTACGTAACTGAGCCCATGCATCACATCTTCACCAAATCACAGCGGGTTCCCACAAATCTATATTTGTGCCACAGCTCCAAATTCCTGCCTGATTTGTGTTTAACCATTTATAGGCAATTCTGGAGAGGCTAGCAATAGCAAGCTAGCTTTGAAAGCATGAGGTCCCACCTTCCCTTCCGAGTGCTTCAAAACACATGAACGCCGCTGATCTATTATGTTAAAGGGGACATTGCCCCCTCAGATCTGATTTGTGCCCCCTCAGTTTAAGTTTTAACAAGTTTTAAAGGTACACTCAGACTGCAGGCAAATCTGAATAATTGCAAATTTGCAAGTGATCAAATAAGATTATAGCTGCGTCCCAAATGACGCACTATACACTATGCACTTATACACTATGTACTTATGCACGATGTACTCAACCGAACCGTGTAGTGTATGAACTTTATAACTTTATTTTGTCTTTCAACATCAGTCTGATAGCCCCTCCCCCTCTGCTACGTAATTGTACGTAAGCTGCGATAGTTGAGTGCATGAACTGTCCAACGTTCCACACTTCGTTTTTTCGAACTTAAAGTGCACTTTTTCTTTTTAGAATTTTCAGTGTGAACGCACTACTCGCACTATTTATACTACAAAATGACGTAGAATGGTGCACAAGTATGCGATTTGGGACTCACCTTTTGTGTTTTTTACAGTCTATGGTCCAGACATAACCAACCTATCTGCATGGGTTGCTTGGTAATGACGTAGGCGTACCCATGTATGTGACAAGGCTTTTAAAACGGATGCAGGAAAAATGGAGGTGCATAATTTCGCTCACCAAATAAGTGCCCTGTCGAGTCGCGGTCCAGAATTGGTATTGTGATGTTCCGTGATGTCCAAACCAAAATGTGGTTTGAATTAGATTTGATGTCCGGCCTATTAATCCCATTTGGATAAAATCTGGAAATTCAAAAAAATGCTGGCAGTCTGAGAATAGCCTATGCAACTTTTGGTCCTCTAGCGGTTAAAAAACAAAACTGCATGAAGAACATTGTTTTGGTTGTGCTTCTGTAACGAACTTAGGCCAGTAAGAGCTGTGTGCGTAAACCTCACTCCCCTGATCTCAAGAGGTGCATTAGCGATTGAAGCTAGAGGCTGTGGTCTTTAGCATCTTTGTTAGCGCACCCACCTTTATTGAACAGATAAATTGCCTTATGTAGCTCTCTAACAGAGTTCATTGTAAAGTATAATTTATTGTGAAGGGTCATTTCATTATAGTTGACCCAGCATTATAGCGCTGTGCTGGAATTTATTTTCAAGGAAGTACCATGTCTATTAATGGGTATAGCTAGAGTTACGTCTTCAGCTAGTTAGCTTGCTTATCATCTGCTTATATCTTTTAAGCCTACAGTGAATGTTTTATGAGCAGTGTAACCATAAATCAGGTTAAGACGAAAACATTTTGGAAGGAAGATTGATGATGTATTGACTCGTTTAAATTTTGTTAATTTTGATTTTTTTTTTTACATTGTACCTTTAAGTCCACTGTGCAGCATCTCCATTTGAATTGACACATGGTTTATTTGATATTCGTCCATAATTCAAAATACTGTAATTTGGTGATAGAAACAGGGACTCAACCACAAGCTGTCTGTTTGGACAGTGTGGCCGTGGACCCAGTCAGCACAGCCATAGCTAAACGTCACGATGAGAACAACAAAATGACTTTGGCTGGAGAGTCAAATCTCTATCAGATTAAAGGCTTCACTGTAACTGCTGAGCTCAGAAAAGGATTCATAAAGTCCAGCCAAAGGTGACGTGAAGAAGTAAGAATTGGAACAGTAGGCCTACTTCAGTGTGTTTATTTCAGTGTGTTTTGGATAGACTTTTGGAATTTTGTTAAAATGAATTCATCCACAAGCTTGTGCATGAGCCAAAAATTTGTTTTTAGGTGACTTTGAAAACAGACCCCTTTCATATCAAGTTTATACTTATTTTATTACTGTTCCTTGATGAAATAATGAAAATAAAAAACCTTTTTTATTTACAAGAAAGATGTTGATATATATTTTGAATTCTATAATGCTTATAATTCTATTATGCTTGTAAAACTTCTATGGTATAATATGCTTCTTATAAGATAGCCTAATATAATTAGCGCATTTCCTATTGTATTCCTACAGTGTATTGTTCTTTTGCTTGTAATTGTTTTGTCGCCATAAAAGAGGAAACATTTTACAATAAGGTTCAATTTACTAATTAACAAATGAGACCTTATTGTAAAGCATTTCCAAAGAAAAAACAGTACTTCAGTCAATGTGTTGTTTATTTTGATCAACAGAGGGCGCTGCTCAACAAACCAGCTTTATCGTGATATCATTTATCTTCCGCTACTAATTCGCGCTATTTTGGCTTTGTCAGTTGGACAGGAACTAAACGACACAAGAATAACATGATTGTATAAGGTAAGACATCGTTATTCAGCTTCCCTAATGTACCTAACCAACCTTATACTGAAATGATTTGCAATGCTATTTTCCGCTTTTCGTTGGTTTAAGTGATGACAGAGAAAGTGCGTTGGAACTGAAAGTTCTCTTACGAGAGGTTCTCTCGTATTGCGTAAGCTAGCTTACGCTGCGGGAGAGATTAATCTTTTCTGAGAAATTGAAGCCAAAAATTATCCTATAATTTTGTATCTATTGTCAACGCAGTTCAGCTGCAGCAGACCATGAGCGGGCTAGCTAGCAGCTCATTGGCTCGCTCACAGGGAACTGCTTAAGCCTATGAGGAGACACGAATGAACTCTCGGCCAATGAGAGTCTGACCTGCTCTCATTGCGTCAGAGCCCGCCGAAACGGGCGTGGTCAGAGAGTATAAATTCGCCTCTCAGGCTGTAAACTCTGATTTTCATCTCTTCAGCGAGGCTACACGCATCTGCTGATCCTGAGAGAAGCCGCCGTCGTGGAAAAGGCACCTTCTAGCGAGCATCTGGGAGACTGAGGAGGCCGGCCGTCTTCGCCACCTTTAGCCGTCCTGCAAGCTAGCGCCATCCGACGGATTCATATCCTTTAATCAAAAGCTTCTTGTTTTGTGTGTGTGTGTATCTAAAAGAGCCGAGCGTCTTTGTAAAGATGTCTCGTTTTTCCTCCTGCGGTTCTTGCCGCGCTCCCCTCGAGACTGGAGACCGCCACGTCATCTGCGCTCTCTGCCTTGGATTGGAGCACGCCGAGCTCGCCCTCGCCGATGGCGGCTGCGATCTCTGCGAGGAGATGCCGTTGTCGACCCTGGGGGCTCGACTTCAGGCCACAAAAGCTGCTTCCGCGCCGCCTTCGACTTCGCCGCGTAAGAAGAAACGCCGCTCGCAAAGGCCGCCGGAACCCCAGCCAGAAGCGTTCATCCCGCCGGAGCCTGTCGCCTCCCGCTCTCCTTCTCCGCCGCTTCCGGACATACAGTTGCCGCCGAGTGGCCGCTCTGTCGCCTCCGACGACGCCGCGGACATCAAGGAGACATGTTCGCTTCTCGCTTCAGACAGTGAGGATTGCTCCGGTTCTCACGCCTCTTCGGCCCGAGAATCCTCTGGGACCCGCGCTGGAATTGAGGAGGAACTAGTGCGCCTCCTCTCACAGGCCGTCGAACGCCTCGGGCTCGATTGGTCTCCTCCCCCCGAGCAGACCATCAACCGTA